TATCGAGATCATACAGATTCTAGCTGGGACGAAAAGTGCATTAAGGGGCAATTATAACAGTGAACTTGGTATGGAGGACGGATTTTTTTCAGACCACGTTCAACTTTGCCATCAGCAGAGATAAGAAACTGGAAGAAATTCATAGCTCAATTCCATGCAATGCAAAGTATATGCCACCTGAAAATCATAATCAAATTCTCGGTCGACTCACGAAAACTATCCAGCAAAGAATCCGAAATGAAGTTGGTGATAAGAAGTACACAATAAAGGTGGATGAAACTCGTGATAAATGCAACCGTGAAAATCTGTGCTAATGTGTGAGGTACTTACAAGACGGAAATATTGTTCAACATCTACTTGTAGTTGTTCAAGTTTCCAATTTTGATGCACATTCCTTGACTGACTCCATCATAGCAATACTTCAAGAGCATAGCTTCAGTTTGGAAAACGTTCTTAGCCAATGCTATGATAAAGCTAGTGTGATGTCGGGACAATCTGGGGATGTTCAAAAATTTCTCCAGGAAAGATTGGGCCCATCTGTCCCCTACATGCACTGCCTAAACCACCAGCTACACCTTGTAGTTGTGCATGCGATTTCGGCTGCAGATGTTGACGTGGATGTCTTTTTTTGGCACTTGCAACATCCTGTACAACTTATACATAGGCCAACTGTGTTTGTTCACTACACTGGGCAAGCACTGAAACACTGTTGGAACAGCGATGGACTGGCCAACTAGCTACTGTGAAAGTCATCACTGGATCATATAAAGCTATTTTGACGAGTCTGTCGGACATTGCGACAAATGAGAATAACACATTCTTACCTGAATTAGTGGTGGAGGCAATCGGATTGTTAAAGCTGATCAAAAAGAAACCCTTTCTGTTCCATGCTGTAGCTATCCACAAAGTATTGAGTATACTAGCATGTGTCAACATTCATCTACAATCGGTCAGTGTCATGATATCAGCATCAAGGCCTGCATCAGATTAAAGCAATGGATGCTCGTGAAGCTCAGTTCTCAATGTTTCGTTTACCACTTTGGTGGATGAAGTTAATCAGCTTCTGCAAAATACTGCAGGTGATGATAACAGTGTAACAGTACAAGACCATCAGCCTGCAGAAAATAGAAGACGTCGTGAAAACTGTGGTTTCAAAGACTACATTGTTGACCATCTGCACAGAGATAACACCAATTTGTCAAAAAATGATAACCTTAAACAATCGTGGTTCTGTCTAATTGACAGTATCCTGGTTGAGCTTGATGAACGTTTCTTGGAGAAAAATTTGCATTTTATTCGTGCCATGGAGTCACTAGATCCCGAATCAGAACATTTCTTTGACAAAGACCGAATGGGATTTCTCGCAGACTTGATCGGCCTTGAAATGGGCAGCTTTGTTTTGGCTCAAATTGATGTTACCAAAAATACACCAGTTACCACTGGAGGAAAAACAACAACCATAACCTGGTGTCTGTTTTACAACAGCTTTTCCATTTGAAATCGAAGGGCCTTTCAGCCATTACAGAACTGTATGAGGCAGCATTAACAATTGGATCCTCAACTGCAACATGTGAAAGAGTTTTTTTCTGCTTTGACAAATGTGCTTACAGACCTCCGTCAGTCTATGTCTCATAAAAGACTGGCGAACTTGATCCTCATCGGGTTTGATGATATATGTCAGAGTGTTGATGGGAAGCATATGATATTGAGAGACTTCAATTCTGTTCAGAATAGACGATTACAGTTGTTTTAATAAAAAATTTTGGACTTGGTTCACATTGCTTTAATTAATTACAAGGGTCCAATCAACTTTTCCTGAGACTGACTCGTGCTTTCTGTTTTGATTAACCTACCAGTTCATACCTAACTTAAGCTCTTGGTGTCGGATATTAACGATTTTTTCATGAGTGAATTCGCTCATGAATTAATAACGAACATCAATAAATGATAAAAATTTATAAATAAAACTAAATATGGTTACAATGTACTCGCGCCTTTTGAATTTTTCATTGCGCCCTCAATGTGTGCGTCCTGGCTACGACACAGGATTAGGGTATACTAGGGGATGGGCGTGGTAATACTTGTCCCGTCATTTTTGATGGGCTATACGGTAGTTGTTCATAAAACGAATTATACAACTCACGCTACGTAATCAGCTTGATTCCCAGAATCTCAACACTTGACAGTTTCTTGTTCATTGTTTTTTCGCAAGTCTCTTTTGTTTGGTCCTTACCAGAAGATGTGTATTGTTTGTTTCTTATCTGAGTAATTGTTCCTTCATCTTCACAGTGGTCGTGTTGCTAGTTACTTGTGTCTGTCTAAGCAATTGTTGTTTGTTCTGCGTATGTACCTCAGTGATTGCTGCTGCCGCCTTGTGGTCGTTTTGTTAGTTATTTGTATCTGTCTAAGCAATTGTTCTTGTTCTGGTATATACCTCAGTGATTGCTGCTGCCGCCTTGTGGTCGTGTTGCTAGTTATTTGTATCTGTCTAAGCAATTGTTCTTGTTCTGGTAT